CGTGCTCGGTCACGGCAAGCTCCGCTTTCCCGCAGGGTTCACGCCATTCTCCTCAGGCTTCCCGAGGTAAGCTTGATCACAGGCGGCTGGCCCCACCTATTACCGGACTAAGTTTTTTTTTTTTTTCAGGAGCGGATGTCTCGGCCCCTGTCGCCAGGCTTGGGAGATGCAGTGCGCGATCCTCCACCTACTGCCAAGGTCCGGCCTCCGGTTACGCAATTTTCCTGCCTCAGCCTCATATAGGCTGGGACTAAGGGCTCCGGCCACCCGCCACGAGCTTAATTTGTATTTTTTTAGAGAGACGGGGTTCCAACCTTGTTAGCCCCAGGATGGTCTCGATCTCTGGACTCGTGATCCGCCCGTCTCGGCTCCCCAAAGTTCTGGGAGTACAGGCGGAACACCGCGCCCGGCCCCCGGCTAATTTTGTAGTTTAGGTAGAGATGGTTTCCCCGTGTAGCAGGATGATTCTATTCACGACTCGTGACGCCACTTGCCTCCTGAGGCTGCGTGCCACTGCACTCCAGCCTGGGTGATAGAGCAAGACTCTGTCTCAAAAAAGATAAATAAATAAATAAGCCAGGATTGCACCTTCCTCACTGGGCAGACCCAGTGCTCGGCGCGGTGGGTGAACAAGGCTCAGGTAGACTCCCAACGCAGCTATGACCGCACTGTGCCTCCAGATCAGCTTTCTGCCGGAAGCCCAGCAGATAAGCATTCAATAATGCACATCGAACAAATAAAATTAATGACAGCTAACAGCTATGGAGTGCTTTTTTCTATTTATTTATTTTTTGACAGAGTCTTGCTCCGTCACCCAGTCTGGAGTGCAGTGCGTTATCACAGCTCACTGCAGCCTCTAACTCCTGGGTTCAAGCAGATCCTCCTGGCTCACCCTCCCAAAGTGCTGGGATTATAGGTGTGAGCCACCGTGCCTGGTCTATTGAGTGCTTCTTAAGTGCCAGGCACTGCTCTATCTGCTTTACATAGTTTATTTTACCTAATCCTTACAATAAGCCAATTTACTATTATCTCCATTTCACAGAGGACAAAATTGAGGTGCAGAGAGGCTAAGCCACTGACTAACTAGCAGATGGCGATGCCTGGAAACGAACCAAGCCTGAATCTGGGGTTCCCGTGGGTAATCTCTGCATTGAGCAACAATTACTGAATGAAGGAACGAACAGGATAAAGTTAAACTCAGGGAGGAAGAAATCGGAGCTACACGAGGGAGGCAGGCAGCGTTACTTCAGAACCCTCCCAGGGCCACTGATGATAAAGTAGGAAGAGAACTGGTTTCCCAAGAAAACCGTATCTACTACAGCAGGCCAGATGACCCTGGAGACAAGCTGAACAAAGTCCAGTGACAATCTCCCAAATGCCAGTCCCAGCAAAACCCCATTTCATTGATGCCTCTGGCCAATCTCAAGAATTTCCGGTCTCAGTGTTCACATCTGTAGACGGTGCGCGCCCAGGGCCAGGCGCGGTGGCTCACGCCTGTAATCCCAGCACTTTGGGAGGCTGAGGCCAGCGGGTCACCGGAGGTCAGGAGTTCGAGACCAGCCTGGCCAACATGGTGAAACCCCGTCTCTACTAAAAAATACAAAAAACTAGCTGGGCGAGGTGGCGGGCGCCTGTAGTCCCAGCTACTCGGGAGGCTGAGGCAGGAGAATGGCTTGAACCCGGGAGGCGGAGCTTGCAGTGAGCCGAGATCTCGCCACTGCACTCCAGCCTGGGCGACAGAGTGAGACTCCGTCTCAGAAAAAAAAAAAAAATAAAGAGTGTGCCCAGGTGGATCAAGAAGATGATCTCCTGGCAGACTATAAACACTCCTGGCAGATCTTGGGGAGACCTGTATGCCACGCTTTGCTCCATTTCCATTTCCTTGGTACAGTAAAGCAGCATATACTATCCTTTTTTTTTTCTTTTCAGAGAGTCTTGTTGCCTGGCTGGAGTGCAGTGGCAGAATCTTGCCTCACTGAAACCTCCACCTTCCGGGTTCAAGCGATTCCCCTGCCTCAGCCTCCCGAGTAGCTGGGATTACAGATGCCCGCCACCACACCCAGCTAATTTTTTGTATTTTTAGTAGAGATGGGGTTTCGCCATGTTGGCCAGGCTGGTCTCAAACTCCCAACCTCAGGTGATCCGCCCGCCTCAGCCTCCCAAAGAGCTGGGATTACAGGCGTGAGCCACTGCACCCAGGCAGCATTTACTATTCTAAGATTCATTCTCAGCCCTCTAGTCTGGGGAAAGAAAATTCCCCAGGCCTCCATAGCGTCATCTCTAAGGGTGAAGGCTCAGCCTAGGAGTCTGTCTTTTGCCCTCTTCTCCCCTGCCCTCCGCTCAGCCTCCTGGCTTTTCCGGTAGCCAGTGAGACCTACAGGCAACAGAGGTGAACTGAAAGCCATTCCCAGTTAGTCATTTCTCCACCGAAGTTTTGTGTCAGCTTGAGTCATGGGAAGACCTGCTCCTCCTCTCGCTGCCTCTCTAGGCATCGCTGCAGGATAAGGCACAGTGACATCAGGTCCTTGCAGCTGTGACACTCCCCACACGCCCCCACACACTTCCCAGGGGCCGAGTTGAAGCCCCGTTCCCACGGCCAGGGGCCACAGCAAGTGCAGCATCCTGGACAGAGCCACTGGCTTAGATTACACACCCCCTGAGCCACAGTTTTAGGAGGGTCTCTCACCAAGCCCCAGCTCACATGGCCCTCACTTGACATGGCTCAGATGACACCACCCAGAGGTCAACAGCAGAGTTTTCCGAGGGCTGGAGAGCAGGGCCTGCAGCCCCCTCCACATTACTTACCACCAAGTCCCCATCAGCATTCAGAAAGACACCAGCAGAAGAGACGGTGGATTCTCTAAGTCCCCCAAACCCAGAGATTCAGTTCTGGGGCTCCAATCTCCTTAGCCCCAAGGGAAGGAAGAACATGTCCAGCGGGGTCAGAGCTCACGCGCTGGCCCTCTGCCCTCCTGTGGTCACCACAGTCCCGAAGCTGGCTGTGCTCCTTGCTCGTTCAGCCAGAATTCTGCAGACGCATCCCAGGCCTATGCTGCTGTGCCAGGACCTTGGACGCCACCCACCAGGCTGGCCCTGTCCCCATCAGGCCCAGGAGTGGGTGCAGGAGCCGAGGGCAGGCTGTCAAGGAGACGGGCTCCGAGAGTCAGAGGCTCACCATTCAGCAAGGCGAGGGCAAAGGAACCTCAGGGCCTAGCCAGGGGCGCCTGCCATCAGTGGAGCCTGGCTCTGGGACTGCCGGTCAGGCCGTGTGTGCTGTGTCTTTAAGGACCAGGCCTCTTTAAGGCAAGTTCCCTCTGCAGTCCAGTCCTGCCTCTGCCCGTCCTGCGGCAGACAGTGGGGTGCTCCCCAGCGCCATCTGGTGGCCGCACAGCAGCACCTCGGCCACTGGAGGCTTCCTGCCGAGCGGCCCGCAAGTGCCTGGACAAAAATCTCCAGCTTGGACACAGGGCTGCAGGCTGCTGTTGGGAACACAGCTGGGAGAGTCAGGAGGAGCTCCGTCCAGGGAGGAGAGAGCAGAAGCCCCCAGGAGTGACATGGGGAGAATGACTATCCCGCCGGACAAAACCTTGCCAGGCTGGTCTTGAACTCCTGACCTCAAGTGATCCGCTGCCTGGCCTTCCCAAAGTGCTGGGATTACAGGCGTAGAGCCTCTTGCCCGGCCAAAATTTAAGAATTATTTCTATTTTATTTATGGTGTTTTAAGGAGCTCATTCTAGTCGTGCCCAGACTAGAGTGCAGTGGCACGATCTCGGCTCACTGCACCTCAGCTCCCCGGTTCAAGCGATTTCTCCTGCTCAACCTCAGAGTAGCATGGGATTTACAGGTGGCCCACCCACCATGCCCTCTATTTTTGTATTTTTTAGTAGAGATGGGGTTTCACCATGGTTGCACAGCCTGTCTCTGAACTCCTGACCTCAGCCTGATCCACCCCACATCGCCTCCCAAAGTGCTGGGATTACAGCCTGAGCTTCCAACACCCGGCATATTGTGAAGGTATTTTAGCA